TTTTTGCGGTACACGGGCCTCTCACTGTTGTGGCCTCTCGCGTTGCAGAGCACAGGCTCCAGACGCGCAGGCTCAGCGGCCATGGCTCACGGGCCTAGCCGCTCCGCGGCATGTGGGATCTTCCCGGACCAGGGCACGAACCCATGTCCCCTGCCTCGGCAGGCGGACTCTCAACCACTGCGCCACCAGGGAAGCCCCTACAAGTATTCTTAATTGAAAAATTACCTAAGTAACATTTCTTTATAAGCTCAAGATTGGTAACGTCAATTCTTAAGGAACTCAAGTGTCAACTTTATTTCCTCCCATATATGAAGCCTTAAAGGTGGAGGGAGGAGGGTTATCTTTTTAGTTTCTAAACATCTATTAATATGTAATTAAATGCTATTTTAAAACATACTGACTATTCCAAATATTATTCTACTGTTAAAAAAGTAAAAGTTGGCTTCTAGTTGCTCAGTAAAGTTATTAGCTAATTGTTTAGACTAGAATTAAAAATGTGCACGTAAAAATAAAATAGCAGGGTATGTAACTTCATGTAACTTATGTTTTGTTCACTGTTAACGTTTCCAGCACTCGGACCAGTGCCTTCTAGGACAGTGTAGTTGGAGCTTCCTTGTTATTCCCCAGGGGATGAGGGTTTTGTTTTCATAGCTGTAAGGCGGGAATTGCTGCCCCCCAGCAGTGATGCCAGAAATAGTATATAGCTGTGATTGCTGCTGCAGTATTTTGAGTATCACCATGGATGAGCTCTTTTTCTTAAAAGTTTTCTTGTTGTTAATGCTAACTTCTTGTTTAGGAATCACATTTAGAGTTGGACCCAGGATCACTGCTCACTATTTATCTCCCTATCCGTGTCAGGTGTCTAAAGGAAAGCAGTCAACACTATGAAATGGCATTTTTAAAAGGCTTCCTGCCCCTGGAGAAGTTCCTTTTCCCTTTTTAACCTCCCAGCTTACAGTTTGCTTGTAGTTACAATTTAATACCATGGAGATCAAGACACCTTTATAACTCTTAACTGAGTTGCATTATTAGCAAACCTAATTTCTGTTTGGAAGAACAGTAGGAGTCTCTTACAACTGTAAACTGTAAGTGGGTCCTTGGTCACTGATTTCAGTCTTTAAGACAGTTCTGTGTGTGTCCCAGTTTATATATCAGCACTGTATTGGTAAGGAGTTAGAAACCCCTAGAGTGTTCTGCATCTTTTTATATGCTTACAATATTGCTGTTTAGCTGCTAGAGAAAATGTCTGACTAAAAGTCAGTAACCTACATTTAAAATGCAGTATCTGATCTGTGATATAATGAATAGTTTTAAAGCAACCAGATGCGGTTGGGTTTTCAAATTTGTGGTGACTTTGTTGCTGGTAAGCCAGCTAGTGTTTTAAATTTATAATTATAGTAATTTAACTCAGATAGTAGTGCTACTTTATCACTCTCTCCTGGATAATTGCTTGTATCATAGTACAAAAGTAGTAGTAATTATCAGGTGGATTCTTTTCAGAAACTAAGTAGTATATAAAAAGCAGATGAAGAAAACATACCAGCCATCTAGAAGACTGTGAGTTGCATTCTAACATTTATTTTCTCAGACTCAGTTTCCACAAACATACCATACTATGGTCACAAATGAAAAGCAAATATAGTTAATTTGGAAGTTTTCCATTTCTAAGTAGAAAACATTACCCAATCTCAAAAATGAGTGAAATAATACAAACTGTTTGCCCTTAATGCAATTATAATATAGCTACTTTACATGGTCTCTTAGGCCTAAAATATTTTTTAAGTTTGAGCTGGGAGCTTTCGCAGAACTCAGTAGAGAATTCAGGAAAATGAAAGCAGAAAATAATGGTTTTGTGAGTACTAGGTGAAAACTTGAAATACCTGTCAATATTTCACTTGATCTTTCATTTAATAGATTTAACAGTACCTTTTGTTTTGGTTCTGTTAGGCAAGTTTAGCAAGTATAGATGCTGAGCTTCAGAAACTTAAGGAAATGACCAACCACCAGAAAAAGCGAGCAGCGGAGATGATGGCATCTTTACTGAAAGACCTGGCAGAAATAGGGATTGCTGTAGGAAACAACGACGTAAAGGTAACTGTAATTACCAAATATTAAGCATGATAATCTTTACACAATTCATACTTTATTTTTCACAGAGTTCTTTTCATACCCATTATCTCCTCCTCACAACAGCCATTTGTAGTAGATGGTATTAACTTAATTTTAAATAGCCGAGGAACAAGGGGGAGAATAAGGGGTGCTTGGGAGACATGCTCAGTAAGTAGCATTTATTTGGACCCCATGTTTGTTTTTTCCCTCTTTATAAAGATTTTGCACTTAGAAATCATGTTAATAAATTACCACACAGGAAGTATGTAATTGAAACAACAGTGAAAATTAGCTCAAGGAATAAACTGTGAATGAATTTGATTGCTTTAAATGTTTAAAAAGATGAAAGGTGAGCACTGCTGATTAATGTTCTCTCTCTCTTTATTTTGAAAAATTTCAAACATATTATAACAGTAAAGAGAATAATGTGAGTTAATCAGTAATCAAAATTTTGCCACACTTTTATTTTTTCTTTTCTAATAATCTTTCAGGATGCTAATACTGGTTATATTAGCACTAGTTTGTGGTAAAAAAAAAATTTGTGACCTATAGATTTTAAAACTTAGACCAAAAAACCAAAGACTCTTAACTGCAAAAACATACACATAACGTGAAAGATTTGTATGTTGTAGTAGGTATTTGTTTAGACTTCCTTTTTTGATTAAAGTCTAGTTATAGTAACAAAGAGAACAAACTTAAACTTGGGTTTATAGTGAGAACCAACTAAGCAGCCATTTAACAAGAGTTGGAAATGAAATAAAAGTTTTCACTGTGGAGCACACATTCCTTCTGTTAGATGTTATTCAGAGCTACTGTTTGTTGATGAAGGCAGGCCTTCGTTCTCGTAATCATGTCATTTTTTAATGCTGGCTCACCTCATCGAAACAGAGCAAAGTGTTGTTATTAAATGCTGGATGACATGGCTTGCTCTTTCTTCCCCATCAGTCTGAACATCCTGCCCTGTCCTGTTTATGGTGAAGCAATGTGAGATTGATCGAGCTCTGTGGGAATCTTCTGGGATGAAAAAGTAGATTTCCTTCATATTACTGAACACTAGAAAGGTGTTGTTCAAAATTTGCTTTGTAGATTTGTGACTTGTTTTTAGAAAAATCCTCCCATTTCATGTTCAGATAATCTTAATTTAAGTGAAAAAGTGGTAAAGATAGAGAAAATAAAGAGTAAGACTGGCTTATGTCTAGTGGCAGAGTGATAATAGTACAGATACCCTGACACCTAAACTGCTTTTTTTACTAAACCATTACAGTATTTTGAAAACAAGTCAGCCTTGCAAATAGGTTCTTAAAAAAAAAAGAAACAGGATCCTCGATATTTTTGTGTTTTGCATGTAGTTCTTTTCCTGTTAATAAACATCAGTAAGTGCTGCTTGAGCTCTCCTTGTTTTGTGTTTTTTACATTATGGTTCACTAGATCATATGTTAAGACTATGTTAGCTTTGTAAGAAACTCCCAAACTGTCTTCCAAACTGGCTTATATAGCATTTTTTGTTCCATCCAGCAGTGAATAAAAGTTCTGTTAATTCACATCCTTACCAGTATTTGAGGTCATCAGTTTTTTTAGTTTGAGCCATTCGAACAGATGTGTGATATTATCTCGTTGTGCGGGTTTTTTGTTTTAATTAATTTATTTTTTATTTTTGGCTGCCTTGTTGTCTTTGTTGCTGCATGCGGGCTTTTCGCTAGTTGCAGCGAGTGGGGGCTACTCTTCGTTGCGGTTCCCAGGCTTCTCATTGGGTGGCTTCTCTTGCTGCAGAGCATGGGCTCTAGGTGCATGGGCTTCAGTAGTTGTGGCACTCAGGCTCAGTAGTTGTGGCTCGCAGGCTCTAGAGTGTAGGCTCAGTAGTTGTGGTGCGTGGGCTTAGTTCCTCCGCAGCATGTGGGATCTTCCCCGACCAGGGCTCAAACCTGTGTACCCTGCACTGGCAGGCGGATTCTTAACCACTGCGCCACCAGGGAAGTCCTCATTGTTGTTTTAATTTGCATTTGGTTGTTGGTTTTCTTACCTTCAGTTTTAAGAGTTCTCCTTGTATGTTTTGGATAATAGTCCTTCATCAGGTATGTGTTTTGCAAATATTTCTTCCAGTCTGGCTTATCTTTTCATTTTTTTAAGTGTCTTTTGTAGAGCAGAAGTTTTTAATTTTAACAAAGTCCAACTTACCAATTTTTTTCTTTCATGGATTGTGGTTTTGGTGTTATATCTAAAAACTCATCTCCAAGCCCATGGTCACCTAAATTTTCTCCTGTGTTATCTTCCAGAAGTTTTTTAGTTTTGTGTTTACATTTAGGTTTATGATCCATTTGGAGTTAATTTTTCTGAAATTAAACTTTTCTGTATTTACATGTGGATGACTAGTTTTTCCAGCACAATTTATTGAATTGAATTCCCTTTGTCAGAGATTAATTGACTGTATTTGTGTATGTCTATTCCTAGGCTTTCCATTCATTTCTGATGACCTATTTTTCTGTTCTTTTTTCAATACCACATCATCTTGATTACTAGCTTTATAGTAAGTCTTGAAGTTGGGTGGCATCAGTCCTCCAGCCCTGTTTTTTAATAATATGTTGGCTATTCAAGGTCTTACCATTTAAACTTTAGAATCACTTTGTCAATATCTACAAAATAACTTGGAGGGGTTTTGATTAAGATTATATTATATCTGTAGATCAAGTTGGGAAAGACTGACATCTCAGTATTGAGTCTTCTCTCCATGAATATGGACCGTCCCCCATTTATGTAGTCCTTCTTTGATTTCTTTTGTCATCTGGATCTTACACGTACTATGTTACATTTAAACAACCGTGTCATCTGCAGACAAAGACAGGTTTATTTCTTCCTTCTCAAGCTCCTTATTTTTTTCCTCTCTTCTTTTTAATTGAAGTATAGTTGATTTACAATGTTGTGTTAATTTCTGCTGTACACCAAAGTGATTCACTTATACACACTCCCACACACACACACACACACACACATTCTTTTTCATATTCTTTTCCATTATGGTTTATGACAGGATATTGAATATACATCCCTGTGCTATACAGTAGGATCTTGTTTTTCCGTTCTACATATAATAGTTTGTATCTGCTAATCCCAGACTCCCACTCCTCTCTCCCCTCCTGCGCCTTGGCAACCACAAGGGGATGCCTAAGAGTGGGATTGCTGGATCATATGGCAACTCTGTTCTTAATTTTTTGAGAAACTGCCATACTGTTTTCCATAGTGGCTGCAGCCGCTTACATTCCCACCAGCAGTGTAGGAGGGTTCGTTTTCTCCACACCCTCTCCAGCATCTGTTATTTGTAGACTTTAATGAAGGCCATTCTGACCGGTGTGAGGTGGTACCTCATTGTAGTTTGGATTTGCATTTCTCTGATAATTCATGATGTTGAGCATCTTTTCATGTGTCTTTTGGCCATCTGTTTGGGCCATCTCCGAGATCTTCTTTGGAGAAATGTCTGTTTAGGTCTTCTGCCCATTTTTTGATTGGGTTGTTTGTTTTTTTGATATTGAGTTGTGTGAGCTGTTTGTATATCTGGGAAATTAAGCCCTTGTCAGTCACATCACTTGGAAATATTTTCTCCCAATCCGTAGGTTGTCTTTTCATTTTGTTTATGGTTTCCTTTGCTATGCAAAAGCTTTTAAGTTTGATTAGGTCTCATTTGTTTATTTTTGCTTTTATTTCTATTGCCTTGGGAGATTGACCTAAGAAAACATTGGTACGATTTATGTCAGAGAATGTTTTGCCTATGTTCTCTTCTAGGAGTTTTATAGTGTCATGTCTTATGTTTAAGTCTTTAAGCCATTTTGAGTTTATTTTCGTGTATGATGTGAGGGAGTGTTCTAACTTCACTGATTTACATGTGGCTCTCTAGCTTTCCCAGCACCACTTGCTGAAGAGACTGTCTTCTTCCCATTGTATATTCTTGCCTCATGTGTCAAAGCTGTGTGATTGACCGTAGTTGTGTGGGTTTATTTCTGGGCTCTCTGTTCTGTTCCATTGCTCCATATGGCTGTTTCTGTGCCAGTATCATGCTGTTTTTGTTTTTTTTTTCTGGTACGCGGGCCCCTCACTGCTGTGGCCTCTCCCGTTGCGGAGCACAGGCTCCGGACGCGCAGGCTCAGCGGCCATGGCTCTCGGGCCCAGCCACTCCGCAGCATGTGGGATCTTCCCGGACCGGGGCATGAACCTGCGTCCCCTGCATCGGCAGGCGGACTCTCAACCACTGCGCCACCAGGGAAGCCCCATGCTGTTTTGATTACTGTACTTTGTATTGTCAGAAGTCTGGGAAGGTTATGCCTCCTGCCTTTTTCTTTTTCCTCAGGATTGCTTTGGCAGTTAAGTCTTTTACCTACTTGGTCAGGTTTATTCCTAAGTATTTTAATTTTTTGGTGCAATTTTAAAAGATACTGGTTTTTTTACATTCCCTTTCTGATGTTTTATTGTTAGTGTAAAGAAATGCAACCAATTTCTATATGTTTATCTTGTATCCAACTACGTTGCTGAATTTCATTTATCAATTCTAGTAGTTTTTGTGTGGAGTCTTTAGGGTTTTCTATATATAGTATACATCATGTCATCTACATATAATGACAGTTTTACCTCTTCCCTTCCAGTCTGGATACCTTTTACTTCTTTTTCTTGTCTGATGGCTCTGGCTAGAACTTCCAATATTGTGTTGAATAGAATTGGTGAGAGTGTCTTGTCTTGTTTCAGATTTTAGCAGGAAGGTCAAGCTCTTATTTTTTTGCCGTGCTGTGCAGCTTGCAGGATCTTAGTTCCCTGAACAGGGCTTGAACCCATGCCGCAGCAGTGAAAGTGCTGAGTCTTAACCACTGGACCACCAGGGAATTCCCCTGAGCTCCTTATTTTTGACACTGAATATTGTACTGGAATTTTGTAATGAAAGTTACTAAGGAATGTACACTGACCACAGTTCCTCCTTGGAGAACTTAAAAGTCATCATTTCCCTGCCACCTAAACATCATTATTTGTTAAGTTTTGAACTGGACATATACATGATTAACAGTGAATTTACTGTAGAGGGCCTTTGAGGAGGAAATCCAAAAATTGAAAGAGGCAGGGTTCATTAGTGTTGTTTGTTTGTTTTTCCGCTTACATCCATCTTCCTTGTAGGCATATGTTAACATTAAGTTTTAGAAAGTAAGGAAGGCAAAAATCAAGCTCTGCTTTACTCACCCTTTATTAAAAACAATATTTAATAAAAGAAAAAATTCTAGACTTCCTACAAATGTTGAGTAGTATTAAAAATATTTAATTTTGTTTTAAGATTTTAGAGTCTAATTGGGTAAACACTAACTAGACATTTCTGTCTTTCATTTGTGTTTCCCTTTTTCTCACAGCAGCCTGAGGGAACTGGCATGATAGATGAAGAGTTCACTGTTGCAAGGCTCTACATTAGCAAAATGAAGTCAGAAGTGAAAACCATGGTGAAGCGCTGCAAACAGCTAGAAAGCACACAAACTGAGAGCAACAAAAAAATGGAAGAAAATGAAAAGGAGTTAGCAGCATGCCAGCTTCGTATCTCTCAAGTATGTGTTACAGAACAAAGTTTCCTCATTTCTTGAACAGCCGTATGTAAATTTTATTTATTGTAAACGTTTTAATAAAAATGACCTTCCGTAGGTTATTTTGAGTAACAACATTAAAAGGTTAATTCAATTAGTTTTTCTTACTCTAGCTGCAGTAAAACACCATGAATGATTTAAGTGGGTTATATTTGGTAACGTGTGTGTTACGTATAGGAATTTACTAGAAAGCTGTGACTGATGTGACTATTGAAGAATCTAGAAGAATTCTAGGGTGAATAAAAATGCAGGGCTGATTTTGTGGCTTTGGCAACTAAATGGGTGAGACCATTCACCAAGACAGGAATTGTAGCAGGAGGGATGAGGGTAATAATGTTAGTTGGAGATAACAGTAAGAATATTATCTCATATGTCAGCCTGTAGTGCCTTATTTTGTAAGTGTTAAAAACTTGTACACATGACCATTTCATTGATTAAATTCTTTATCATTGTAAATCTTGCCCCTGAACATTTTAGGTTTAAATATCTTATTCTGTAAATGTATATTATATGTTTAGATAATGTCGATAAAACTTGCTTACTTTCAAATATTCTGGACAACAAAGTATGTGTCAGAGATTTTATTCCACCTCATAGCAGTATGTTTTTCCCAAAAGCATGAAGCCAAAATCAGATCATTGACTGAATACCTTCAAAATGTGGAGCAAAAGAAAAGACAGCTGGAGGAGTCTGTGGATTCCCTCAGTGAGGAACTAGTCCAGCTTCGAGCACAAGGTACTCGCTTCCAGTGATTTATGCGTTATATCTCTGTTGTAGTTATTACCTACTTCAGTATAATTGTAGTCAACATTCACACTGATAGAGATTAGTAGGAATACAGGTAACTTGGAATAGTAAACAAACAACACATTTTAATGTGGCTTTGAAACATATTTTCGAAATCATGTTTGAATATTCAAGTGGCCAGTCTAGGAATTTCCCACAAAGTTATAAATTGGTGTGTGTGTGTGTGTGTGTGTGTGTGTGTGTGTGTGTGTGTGTAATTTCCCACAAAGTTATAAAGTGGTGTGTGTGTGTGTGTGTGTGTGTGTGTGTGTGTGTGTGTGTGTGTCCTGACATAGGGGAAAGCTGTTTCATTTCCCACAAAGTTATAAAGTGGTGTGTGTGTGTGTGTGTGTGTGTGTCCGTCCCCTGACATAGGGGAAAGCTGTTTCATTTCCCACAAAGTTATAAAGTGGTGTGTGTGTGTGTGTGTGTGTGTGTCCGTCCCCTGACATAGGGGAAAGCTGTTTCATTTCCCACAAAGTTATAAAGTGGTGTGTGTGTGTGTGTGTGTGTGTGTCCGTCCCCTGACATAGGGGAAAGCTGTTTCATTTCCCACAAAGTTATAAAGTGGTGTGTGTGTGTGTGTGTGTGTGTGTGTCCGTCCCCTGACATAGGGGAAAGCTGTTTCATTTCCCTACCATGTGCTAACCCATCTGTTCCAGGATTCGGCAAAGAAAGTAAAGGAAACCATAATATCAACACAAAGAATATAAAGTTACAAGTCGGTATGTCTTGAGCATAGAGAGCAAGATTTACCGTTTGGCATTTGGATAATTTAAAGTCAAGTACTGTTAAGGAACATAGCCTCATAAAACCTATCTGCCCCTTGGTTTATATCAAGAACTCTAAGGCCCATTTCCTCTCTTCTGTTTTTTCTCCCCACCCAAACAGAGAAGGTGCATGAAATGGAAAAGGAGCATTTGAATAAAGTTCAGACTGCAAATGAAGTCAAGGCAAGTTCGATGTAGCATTGGATTCTCACAGTTTTCATTCATCCTTGTTAATCTTGAGTAATCTGACTTAATATCTTTCCCCCAATGATTTTAGCAAGCTGTTGAACAGCAGATCCAAAGCCACAGAGAAACGCATCAAAAACAAATTAGTAGTTTGAGAGATGAAGTTGAGGCAAAAGAAAAACTTATCACTGATCTTCAAGAGTAAGTATGCTTTCCTCTGAGGTAGCAGAAACTACTGGTGGACAATATATCCTTATTAGAAACCTGCATTTTTCTTTGAAACAATTTTTGACTTGAAAATGAAGAATCTTTTCATTTATGAGTGGAACTTCTAAGTTCCATAGGAAATTTTGGAAAAATGTTCTTAGGTCTTTTGATGTAAATATTCAGTAAAAAGTAAAGAATTCCCAACTTCAGCCATTATTACAAATAGATACTACTGTCTCCTCTGAATCGTTTCCTTAACTTTTAAAAAATATTCTTAACTGAGAAAAACTTTATTGGAAATTGTGGATTTTAGAAGTGTGTGTTTTATTAGGAGTTATTGTCTCCATTTTTCTGGGGCACATTTTCCTACTTCCAGAGCCATATGCGTATAGCACAGAATTTATAGAAATTTGAGATCTATGACCAAATCATGATTTGAGTAGGAGCCAGAGGAGAGTAACAAAAAATGATGGCAAAGTTTGGGACATGGAGCTTATTGTTAATGGATTTAGGGATAAGAATTCAGGGAGATGAAAGATACAGAATCAAGTTACGGTTTCAAACCAAACTATAAAAAGTACTGTGGGCTGAACGTAGCCCAGTCCTCTTTGCTGCTGGGGGGTCACATCCTAACAGAGGAGGCCTGCCGTGTTTGAATGGTGAGACTGTGGAATTGGAGAGTTGGAAAGCTTTAATGGCAACATCTAGAAGATGGGGATGTTGATGCTGCGAGGTTTTTACTTTGTCAGCCAGAACCAGAAGATGGCATTAGAGCAAGGGCGCCTGAGAGCAGAGCACGAGAAGCTGAAAGCTACAGAGCAGGACAAAAGCAGAAAGCTACGTGAACTTACGTGAGTAGACCCTTAGTTCAAGTATAAAAGTAAAAACTAAACGAGAGAGTTACTGGCATTACTCTCAGAAATACCCAGTGGATAAAGTTTTCACTTCGTGTAGGCTAAAGGGTGTTTTTCTTAAACCCTCTGAGTTGGTTTGATTTATACCTAAAAACTTGCAATACTTTCTTGTACTTTAGTGAAAGCCAGGTCTTAATATTTCACTGGTAATCACCTAAAACATGACATTTAGTAATTTAGAAGATTTCAGGATCTGCCACAAAAACTGAATTTTTGTCAGATTTGATCTTGCATAAATAAAAGACCATTTTTGTTTTAGCCTTGCCTTTTGAACAGAGGTTTTTGCCATTTATTTATTTATTTTTTTTGATTTACTGACTAAAAGTATAGTCAACACACAGTTTTCTATAATCTGAGCAGGTAGAAAACTCAGGATTATAACTTTCACATACCTTGAATTTATCAGAGACAATTTATAAAGGAACAGTTGGTTAGGATGGGCACACCAACAGGACCAGCTCAGAGTTGATTTTTTAACAATTCTGCTGAATCTCAGCCATAATTTTGTTTAGAGTAACGTTAACTTAAAATGCATAAAATGTTTTAGTCTGCAATAATTTATAATCTCTGTAATTTTCAGTTAATCAGAATTATTTTGGATAAAGATCAGTATGCTATATAATAATGCACATTCTTAAAATATAAGAAGAACTACTCCTTATTCCTTGAATTCTGCCACGTTTTCTTTCATTGCTTCCATTGCTATATTAGGACAGTTTTTTTCTAATAAACCATAGATTTAGAAAATTACAAGGCATATAGAAATTTCTTTGAAAGACACAACATTGGTAAGCTGTTTTTTAAAACTATGATGATCTTTTTTTTTTTCCTATGATGATCTTTTACTTATTTGTAAGCATTGATCCTGTCAGATAAAAATATTTGATTCAATATTTCTGCTAAATATAGAATTTACGGACTCAAAGTTGAAAATGTATTTGTATATTCTTCCACTGTTTAGGGTTATGCAAGATAGACGAGAACAAGCGAGACAAGACCTGAAGGGTTTGGAAGAGACGGTGGTAAGAAAAACTTGGATATAAATAGGATTGGGGAATATTTAATGGGTTCTTCCCCTGGTTACTCAGTTTGAAAACCTACTTCTAAAAATACTGCTTTCTTAATTCAAGGCGAAGGAACTTCAGACTTTACACAACCTGCGGAAGCTCTTTGTTCAGGACCTGGCCACCAGGGTTAAAAAGGTAATAAAATAATACTGGGTCGGTGTTACTGTGCTTACTGTGTCTGAGTGGAGTAGCCTCACACTGTCATAAGAGTGGGGAGGTAAGCGTTGCCTTTACTTGGTCTCACAGCACTTGCCCGTCTTCTCTAGAGCGCCGAGGTTGATTCGGATGACACCGGAGGCAGTGCTGCTCAGAAGCAAAAAATCTCCTTTCTTGAGAATAATCTTGAACAACTCACCAAAGTCCACAAACAGGTAACAAGGAGAATGTTTTTTGTTTGCTGCAATAAAATCTGAGGAGTGGCATGTATCTGAGTCTTCAGAGTCCTAAGGATTTTCATACCCTGAGCCATTACATTATTTTATCACGCAATTGTAGAAACAAACAACTAGCAGTTTTTATGGGAGTTAATATTCCTAACAGCCTTTAGCAAGAGGTCAGTGAAAACGTGTTGTTTTCTTTGTAGGGTTTCAGGTCTGTTAGTTTTCTTAATTTATTCATGGTCATTTTTAAATCTCTGGTAGACAAGTCTTTGAGTTAAAATACCCCCTCCCTTTTTTTTTGGTCTTTATACATTTAATGCCCCAGAGTCTGAAATACTACAATAATGAGGCAGTTTGTATTTTTTTTTAATAATGCTTACTGTGGGGTTTTTTGCTTATTTTTTATTAAGGCTTGATATGTGATTCAGTTACTTACTTTTTAAGTTTCTTGGCATACTTTATTGTTGTATGTCTTTGATACTAGAAACCTGATGTTTGCACTAGAGTGAGGTTAAGGGAATTTTAGGCTTTCTTGCTTTCATTGCTTATTAAGGGACTTGCCAAGTTTATGTGTACTTGTGGATCTTGCTGTATCTAAAAAGATATTTGTTTCCACCAGATTAGTATCTTAATGAAGAGACCTAACACAGTGTTGTAGTATATTGTCATAGGGAAAAACAACAGTCTCCCCAATCCCCCAGTATTGAATGAAATTATATTTTGGGGAGAAACATATGTGAGGATGATATTTATGGGTATATGTATTCTTTGTTGCTGTCTAAATTATTTAAATTAGCTAAGTGAGAAAAACCTTAGTATAAAATGTAGTTTTTCTTTCAAGAGAAATTATGAAATGTTTCTGTTTTTTCAAATCATCGTTAAAGTCAGGATCCTTATTTTTCCTATATACCTTTAGCTGGTACGTGATAACGCAGATCTTCGCTGTGAGCTTCCTAAGCTGGAAAAGCGACTCAGAGCTACAGCTGAGAGAGTGAAAGCTTTGGAGTCGGCACTGAAAGAGGCCAAAGAAAATGCATCTCGTGATCGCAAACGCTATCAGCAGGGAGTAGATCGT